TCACTGCAAGGTTCCCAGTTCAAACCCACCTGTGACTCTGAGGGAGTAAAGACCTCCTAGTCTTTGCCCCTGGAGATTACAGTTTGGAAAACGCTACGAGGATAGTGCCTCTCTGTCCGGTAAGGTCACGAGGAGTCAGAATTGTCGAATAAGCTTGAACAAATTAGTGAAGGCGATTATCAAACATTCTTTTAAACAAAAGGCATTGAGCCTTTTTATGTGCTAGATGTTGTTATTTCTGTTAGATGTCATCCAGTTAGTTCTGACTCAGCAACCCGAAGTGCTAGACACCCGGCCCCAATAACCCCCGGCCAGGGAGGTGGATTCTGACTCCCGGGGACCCCATAGGATCAAGTGGAATTATGTTTTATATGATAACATATTTTGAAAATGAAAATAATCTTGCAGGATAAGGGGGCTGCAGCATTGGGTTGTGGGGGCAGGGCTGCAGTTTTTAAACTGGTGTTTAAACAATTTTTCTTATGCATGACTTCTTAGAGGTAGGGAATGGCAGAGGAGCCAAAATCCGAATCAATTTTGTTTCCACTGCTCCATGCTAAAGGATCCCTCGTTGGGCTGCTAAGTGCAAGGTCCGCAGTTCAAAACTACCAGCCACTCTCGGGAGGAAGACAGGGCTTTCTTAAAGAATTACAGTCTCAAAAAAAAAAAAAAAAAGATGACGAATTACAGTCTTAGAAACCCACAGGGGAAGGTCCACCCTGTTCTAATGGTCACTATGAGTTGGCATCGACTCAACGACCGTGAGAATCCCTGGCTATGTTCTTCATTCACAATAGTGGTTGTCAGGAACAAAAATTAACTTTTATATTGACTCAGCTTTCCTGTCGCAGTCAAAACCCAAAGCCATCAAGAAAAGTAGTTCACCACTGTGGACAGTTGCCCAGGGGGGGAGACAGTCTGGGCCGTGGTGGCTGGAGGAAGTGGTGCCGCTGGCTTCTAGGGACGACAGACCAAGGATGCTGCTGCTCACCGGTCTACGGTGCACTGGGCAGTTCCTGCAACGAGATGTCAGTTGTGCTGAGATGGAGACACTCGGACTAAGGGCTTACTAAGTTTTCCCCTTCTGCCGAGTGACTGAAATGATGGCCAAAGGCATGTCACAAACGTTCCCTTCTGGCCGTAACATGGAGAGGGAAGTGTAATTAACGTGTAAAGGTCTGGATCACCCTTCATGCCTGCATGACATCTATACATCCTGAATGTCTCAAAGTTCCCAGGGTCTACCTCTGATAGGCATCTGGATAATTCCACGATGCCCACCTAGTCGCTGTTTGGCCTTTTGCAGAGAGAATTTCCATGTGATTTCCTCTCTGACTTTTCTTCCATGTGTCTGCATATAGTTCCAGCAACCAGAATCTCAGAGCAGAGTCAACTCCGAAATACAGTGCTTTAAAAAACCCAAATACAGTCAGAACATGTTGCACACATCCTTTAGGTAGCAGCTGTCTTGCCATTAAATTTTTTTCCCTTGAAAATATATAAACTAAAAAAGCAAACTCCCTGCCATTGAGTTGATGCTGACTCATAGTGACCTTGTAGGACAGGGTAGAACTGCCCTTGTGAGTTTCTGAGACTGTAACTCTCTCAGGGAAGTAGAAGCCCCATCTTTCTCCCACAGAGAGGCTGGTGGTTTCAGGATAGCCTGAGAAATGCCATAGCCTTTAACTAGGCCGTCCTTATTGGTAGCGCATCTCCTTTTGTGGAAAACAGTTTTATTTGGCATGTGCTTCACATCTCATGTAATTTAATTGTTCATTCACATTAAGAAGAGTTGTGCAATAGTTGCCACAATCAATTTCAGAATATTTTCATCTCCTACTCATTGTTGCTAGTTCCCCATTTCTCCTCAATGCCTCTAGGAAATTATTCCCCTGCCCTGCCTCTCTGTAATTATTAGTCCAGTTACTGTCTCTACAGATTTACCTATTCTGGGTTTTCTATACAGAACATTATATAAAACACAAACAGGAAGCAAACAAACAAACAAACAAGCAAACAAACAAACCCCGTATCTTCAATGATTGCTCCATGAGGGTGAGTCTGGAGTAGGGCCAGATCATAAAAAATGACTTGCTCTTAGAGAGGAACTAGAATTAAGTGTGAGCCCCCAATCCACGTATATATCTACGGTTTACATGTGTCTCTGGTTCACTTTGTTGTTGTCAGGTGCCCCCGAGTCAGTTCCAGCTCATAGTGACCCCGTGTTCCACAGAACCACACAACTGCCCTGTCCCTGCCAGCCTCACAGCTGTTCTTACGTATGAGCCCATCGATGCCACCACTGTGGCCACCTTGTTGACGTCGTCCTCATTTTCTCTGCCCTGCTACTTTCCCAAGCAGGAAGTCCTTTTCCAGGGACTGGTCTCTCCTGACCACGAGTCCCAAGTACGTGTCACAACATCTCGCTGTCCTTTCCTCTCAGACATATCTGGTGCTTTAGTGATATTTTATGATAGAGAACTTTACAAATCATCTCCCTGGGGCAGAAGTTAATTTGATCGATAGGGTTGTTACTCAGGCCAACGATATGGAATTTAAAACGTTGTTGAGAATGCAGCGGATCTTTATAAGAAAGTAGAATATTGTGCTGGAACGGGAGCCTTTACTACTCAGTGTTCTGTAGGTGTCCGGTGCAGTGCATGGAGAAATACATGGACATCCCCCAACACTGAGGCCTTTGGGCTTTGAACAGAACCTCGCTGGGAATGGTTCCCTTCTGGTTCCAGGTCAGCAGTCAGACTGACCTGGGGGCACCTGGGTCTGTGGAGTGGCATGGATGCGTTTTTGCTTATCATTAGCAATGGGTGGAGTCTCAGAGCAACTGGACATTGGTGTTCGTTAGAACCTCACTCACGCACAGTGTAAATCCACCCAAATGTATTGATTTCACTCTGGTCCTCCGCCCTCCTTGTCTCCCTATTCATCTTTCTGTCTTCTTCCCTACGCCCCTCCTGCTTATTTTTGCTTCCTCTTCTCATTTATGTGGATCCTTTAGGAATTGCTTTAGCCAGTTTCCTTATGCATAGTCTTCATTGCTTTAAGCACAGTCACATGTTTCTTTCCTTTGTGATATTCATGCCAGCTATGAATTCAGGTGCATCAAATATCTATGAGAATCCCCATAGTTTTTAATATAAAGATCTCATTTCCAATTTTGTGTAACCCAGAGTGCCTGAATCATTTTAGATCTGTGGATTGAGGAAACATGTGAGATGATGTAAAATTATGAACCCCTTGTAATAATTCCACACTCCAACCCTATCCCCACCAGACAAGACCATGACCCTTAGGCTGGAGAGCAACACTGAAGTCCGAGAGCCCCATTCTCGGCAAGTGACCCCCACAACACCTATAGTTCCGCAAAATAAACGCCAACCAGCGGGAGATACCAGCAACCAATGAGCAGGCTGGAGGCATAGACCAACGGCAAGCAGCGAGGTTCTGTACACGTAGGATAAAAGGGCGAGAAGTAACACAACCACAACCGGCTCTGGGATGCTGGCAGTGAAGATTACTAGTGTCGACAAGCCCACTGCCATCCAGCAGATTCCAACTCTGAGCATCAAGGAGACATTTGCAGAGAGATGTTTAGCTGAGGCATTTCAAGTTCTCTTGTGTCCCAAGAGAGTATACATTTTCAGGTAACTATGAAATAGTGTTGCTCTGTGGGAGGACCCTGAACTTGAGTAAAGAAGCAGAGGTGAAATGAGGAATTGGCAGTCAGGCATCAGAATCGTGCTGAAATTTTTTCTCCCTGAAACCGACTGACTTTGTCATGGCGTTTGGAACATGAGCCAGTTATTTATGTGCTGTGAGTCTCAGTTTTCTTCTTCTCAGTAAAAGCAAGGACCGCTCCACATTATGGAAATTAAGTAAGACTGTTTTCATCAAGCATCGGGCTCACTAAAGATGCTGTGGGAACCAGGCTCAGCTTTTTGTTTCAGATTGATTCAGTTGTATGGATGCATCCAAGCTACATGTTAGGTGCCCAGAAAGAGGGTCAGATATTAGTTATAAGGCGTGTGTACATTTTAATTCCGGGGCACATCTGCAAGTATGGCGTGTTATTGTAATAAACTGAACCCAAGTTGAAAGAAGATCAGTAGCTAGAACACTAACAAGGAAGCCCGGAAGATCAGAGATAAGGGTTCCTATCAGTGGCATTCTCAAACTGAATGTCTCTGAACTTAACAGCTCTGGTTCTTCTTCTTGTTCTTTTTAAAAAAAAAATACTTTTATTGGTGGCTCTTACATCTCATCACAATACACTCCTCCAATGTGTCAAGCACATTTGCAAATATGCCGCCATCATCATTTTCAAAGCATTCTCTTCCCACTTGAGCCCCTGATATCAGCTCGCCTGCCCGCCCTCCCTTACGAACCCTTGATCAATTATAGATTATCTTGTCCATATCTTACATGGTCCTCCATCGCCCCTCACCCACTTTTCTGTTATTCATCCCCCTGGGAGCGGGTTCTAGATTGATCTTTGTGATCAATTATCCCTTTTCCCCCCCACCCTCCCCTAATCCTCCTGGTATCTCTACTCTCCTTGTTGGCCCTGAGGGGTTTATCTATCCTGGATTCCACGTGTTGCAGGCTCTTATCTGTGCAGTGTGCGTGCTCTGGTGTAATCCACTCAAGCTTGAGTCAGAGTCTCGGTCACTCATAATGGTGGGGGGGTGAGCAAGTCTTTTACTTTTCATTTTCACCGTGGAATTCAAACAGCTGGCCAGGCTACCTCACAGACCAGCAGAAGGAGTGGCTGAACTGTTAGCAACTGCCCTTTGGGGCATTCCTCAAATGTATCCAACAATGTTAAGGGATTTTTACGATTGATATAGTTGAACTACCTCTGCCACCATGATCTTGAGGCTCAGTGGCTCAGTCTCCTGGCCAGCAGAAAACCCCGGAAGGCATTCGCTATGTGTTTCTTATGATTTTTCTCACCCCTCCCTTGCTTCTCCTTTCATGCACAGTCTGGAATTGAAGTGGTCTCGCATCGAATGGGCACAGAGTGAGTATGGGGTCTGTGAGGATGTGGGAGTGCTGCCCTTGGAAATCACCAGGAAGGGCTACGCCCTGGACTCAGCCTTTGTGAATGTGAAGGTAATGTCTCCGGAGTGTACGTGGTCAGATTCCAAATATTGTTACTGGTTGGTGCCATTGGTTATTTTCTGGGAAAGGTTCCATGTGACCAGGGACATTTCAGACTCTAGGACCACCCCAGTACTCAGAAACACCTAAGTTCAAAATTTCCATGCACCTTTGCCCTTCACTTATCTATATTTATTAACTCCTGGATGATTTTTAAAAATCTGTTTTCAGTTTTTAAATGTGATGGTTTGTTTCTGTAAACTCTCTATATTTTGAGGTTTTATTTTACAGGGAGATATATCTAACCTCATTCAACTAAATCAAATTTTGCTTTGGAAAAAGACATTGTATACAAGAGATTTATCAAAATGTTGTCTGCTTTGTGAAAGAAGCAGATACTTTAAAAAATGCTGTCTGACTTGGTTTGAACCATACAACTTTCCTTGAGGATTTCCCCAGCCCCCTTGCCCCACACCACTCCTGTCCCTACATAGGATTCTGTAACTCAGTGGTACTAAATACTAGGCAATTGCACGTGCAGGGACCATGCAGGGAGATGTCGCCCCTGGCATATGGTAAGTACAGGGGCCGCCACCTCCTCACAAGGAGAGGCTGTGCAGGGGGACCTTGGCAATGCCAACAAACAGCACATGGAGGCTTAGGAGCTAAGCCTTTCTTCAGCAAAATGTCAACACTGCAGACCCCTGAATAGCTCTTAGGACCTTTGACCTGACATGGAGGTAGCGTCTAGGGCCACAGAAATAGGAATTTTAGTTTTCCATAGTGCACTTTCTGTCTTGTTAAGACCATGGTAGAAATACAGCAACCCACTTTCCCAAGCATATTATCTTAACCTGCTAATTGCGCCCACAAAGGACCCCTGATGGCAAACCATTGCCATGGTGGCCCCATGTAGGGCTTCCAGAACAAAATCAGTACAGGAGCAAATAGTCTCATCTTTCTCCCTCAGTACAGCTGGTAGGTTTGAACCACCAACCAGGCGGTTAACAGACCAATGCCTAGCGCACAGAGCCACCATCTCTCAGGCTTGCAAACCAATTCTACTCTTCCATATAAGGTCTCTATGAATTGGAAATCCTTTGTACTTAGACCAGGGTTTTCATTCCACGAGCTCTTTAAACTAGCCAAGGGCACTGTTCTTGATGCCTGTCTAGGTACTCGGGGAGAAGTTAGGGAGATAGATTCCTTAAATCAGCTCTTTGGTTTTTAGCTCTGGAGTTGGATAGGAATCAATAGCTTTATTAAACCCAATGAAAAGCCCACCGCCAACTCCCTTGATGGAAGCGTGTGAAGCCCTCAGTCCTGGCTGTGGATGCCTCTGCCTGGCTGCGCACAACGCTCACATCCACGTCTCACCCTTGTCCGCATTCACGTCTCACCCCTGTCTGCATTCACGTCTCACCCCTGTCCGCGTGGAGCAGCGATTCCACCCAGACGGGGACGTAGACCAGACGTGATTTAGTTAATCAAGTCTAAAGGATTTCAGCCCCCTGGGGCTTGGAGGATACTCAGAGCTGGTATAATACCTACCCCGGTGGGCAGGCACACAGGTGGGCAAGCATGGTGGCCTCTTTTCTCCAGCCCCCTTCCACCCGGGCTCTGTGTTAGACCAAGGTCGGGAAGGGGCAAAGGGAATGAAATAAAATTAAATTGTACTCACCACAGAGAGAGAGAGCTCTTGTTTAAACTCACGTGATCTTCCCCAATAAGGAAATCATTTGTGAAAGAGAAGCAAACAAACATGTTTTTGCTTTCTGCTATGGTCTAGCAGAAAGTTAACTTTGAGGAAGACATATGCAATATACATCTAAAATAGTTCATTGCCAAAAAAATAGTTCATTGCAATTAAAAAAAACATTTTCTATTAAAAACAGATTTAAGAGCATGATGTGAGAATAATGGTGGGGAGACTAGAAGTTTCTCTGTTACCAAACATTTGCTTTTATTTTAAAAATTCATTTCTCCCTCTTAGGTCAACCCGGGGTCAGCTACGGTTGGAAAGGATTTCACGGTGGCTCGATCTAAGCTGATTCAGTTTGATCCAGGTATGTTTTGTGTCTATAGTTTGTGGTCGATTTTTATCAGAAACTGGGGATTATAGAGAAGATGGGGATATAATGCAATTCTAGCCAACTAGAAACTCCTCCAAGAGCTGTCTGACCCCGCTCGGAAAGAGACATGTGTTGAGATTGTTGTCCCTTGTCTCCGCCCCACCCCTCCTGCCCCTGTGTCCTCTGTGATGAATGTTTGCCGGCTCGAGATGCGCTGGCCATTGGGTTCGCTCTCGATGTTCTGTCATTGGCGGATTCTGGCAAATCCAGAGTGTGCGTGTCTGCCCTGCCAGTGGCATGGACAGGATTCCCTCAGCCCCAAAAGTGCCCTGTGCCCCGTTGCACCTCTTCAGCCCTCCTCTGCCCATCCCGCTGAGCCCCAGACATATTTCATTCTACCTGTCGTTGGCCTTTTCCAGAATGCCCTGTAGTTGGGACCACTACGCATGTGGCATTTGCAGACTGGTTTCTTTCCGTAGCAATGCGCCTCCAGGGCCGCTCAGCCCCTTCCTGTATCTCGATATCTCATGTACCCGCTGTGCAGTTGTCCATTTACCTATTGAAGGACATCTTGGTGGCTTCCACGGGGGCCATTGCGATGAAGCTGCTATATGTGTGTGGGCAGCTTCTGTGTGTGGGCGAGCATATGCTTTCGACTCATTTGGGTAGGCACCTAGGAGGACACTTGCTAAATGGGGTGGTAAACCTACGTTTAGCTTTGTAAAATGAACTAAATAAATGGCGCCAGGCTGCCTTCCAACGTGACTGGGCCGTTTTGCGTTCCCAGCAGCAGCGGATGAGGATTCCCGTTGCTCCGCATCCTCATCAGCATTTGGTGTTGTCAAGCCTCTGGATGTCAGCCATTCTAGTCAGTGAGAAGTGCACCTCATTGTTTCATCACGACTCCCTAACAGCAGACTGCTGAGCATCTTGTCCTCGGCTCGCCTGCCATCTGTAGCTCTTCTTTGGTGATGTGTCTGTTCGGATCTTTTGCCCCCTTTTTAAATGGTTGTTCCTTTTCTTATTGTTGGCTTCAAAAGTCTTGTATATTTTGGAGACAAGTCCTTGATCGAATATTTGTTTCATAAATATTTTCTCTGACTGTGCCTCATTTTTTAAAATTTCAAGTGAATATTCATCTAAAACGAGCAGAAAAATAACAAGTGACAAATTTAAAATATCAAAACAACCATCAAAAGAAAAAAAAAGGCCAGGAGAAAAAAATGCTACATGGAAATGTTCCCAAAATGTTCTATTCACATGGGTTTCTAAAGGGTATTTCCAAATACTCCCTCTTAGAATAGGCTGACGGGAGGAAGGAGGCACTACAGCAGCGGTTCTCAACCTGTGGGTTGCGACCCCTTTGAGGGGGTCCGAATGACTCTTTCACAGGGGTCGCCTGATTCATAACAGTAGCAAAATAATAGTTATGAAGTAGCAACAAAAATAATTTTATGAGGAATTGTATTAAACTGTATTAAAGGGTAGCAGCATTAGGAAGGTTGAGAACCACTGCTCTACAGGGAAATCTTACTGAATTCAACAGCATATGTCTTGCTTGAAATGTGTAGACAAATGTTAAGTGTAGGGAGTAGGAAAGTATGGTGCCTGGTGTCAAGGATGTTCCATCTTTTGGAAAATATTGCCTCCGAAAAACTAGCTACGGAAAAATCTGGAAGGTTTCCCAGGGGATGTGTGTTCTAAGCTGTTGTTATTAGTGCTGCCGAGTGGGCTTTGATTCATAGTGACCCTATGTACAAGACACTGAATGGCGGCTGCATTGTCAGGCACCAGGGAGCGTCCTAGTGACAGTGTTGGGCTTCTAACCAGAAAGTCAGCGGTTCAAAACCACCTGTTGATCCTTGGGAGAAAGACTCAGCTTTCTCCTTCCACGAAGACTTAGTCTTAGAAACCCACAGAGGCACTTCCACTCTGACCGGTAGGGTGGCAAAGAGCCAGAATTGCTTCAATGACAGAGCTTGGTTTTTCCTATTTTGATTGGGCACCATCCTCACCATTGTTGTTACATTTAAGTCCACTATTGCAGCTACTAGAGCCATTCATCTCTTTGAGAACCATCCTCTCTTCCACGGTCCTCCTACTTTAAAAAGCCTTTTCTTCTCTGGGAACTGGTCTCCTCTGATGACTTGTGCCAAGTACATGAGATGACGTCTCCGTCCTCGCTCTAAAGGAGCATTGTGGCTGACTTCTCCCTAGTTGGTCAGAGCACAAGAAGGGAACTCCAGGCTGAAGATGGAACAGTGAGGTGAGAGTCATAAAATGCTGAGGCTGGGGCCACAACTTCCCTCTGGTTTCTAGGAATGAGTGCATTGAGCTCCAGCGCACAGCACTGCACGGCTAACGCACTCTCCCCAGGGACTGGGAGAAGCTGGATCACCTGCCTTGAGGCAAATGGACAAGAGTGTGGGAGCAGCCAGGGCTCTGCTACTCTGGAGAGCAGTGGATTAACTCTTGTTTTCACATGTTCCTGGCAAAGGTGTGACAGAGTGGCCTAGAACCAACATTACCCCCACTTTGACCACCTTAGCATTAAATGGACCCAAAGAAATGCCTGTCATAAGTCGATGACCCTTCCATTTCAATGTCTCAGCCTCCCCCCTACACACACACTCCCTTACTGTTGCAGTAAGGTCACCAGATTTTAACATTGGTAAAGCGGGACACCATTGATGGGGGGAGGGAGGTTGGGGTGGGGGCGGGGGTGTTCTTGATTAAAAATTTGGTCTATATGGAGCAAGAAAAATTTTCATAGAATGCAAAAATAGTATTGTAATCTATTTTTTTAATTTCAACATAAGTAAAATTTATAAATATAATACATTAAAAATATGTATAGTATTATTTTATTTTTTGGCATGTTTCTCATTTGAGTGAATTTTTTTAGTAGATTGCTGTCATTGTTTAAAAGGTCATGAAAAATTTCACAAGAATTTGTTAAATTATATTTCACACATTAAATGGCTTTCAAAGTCTCAACACTTAATTGTGAATTTTCTGATGTCCACACTTTATTTACTGTAGAAAATCCGTGTCATTCGCAGCATTAGTTCCTGGTAAGGGCAGCGCATATTCCACAATTTTTAGTGCATCATTGTGTGGAATATGGTTTGTTTCAAAATGGTAAAATATTTCTAACCATTTGTTCTCTATTGTGATTTTTGCTGAAGCCCAAGATTTAACCTTTTCCTTATCAATATATTTTTTTAATAATGATACCTCATTAAAAAGATCATTTTCAGAAATATTACTATATGGGAAATTTTAAGTAATATAATTGAATGATTTTTGCACATCATTCCAGTACTGTCTGCTAAATTCAAGAAAATTTATGTATTTATGAAATAAATAAATTACTTACCTAAATTATCTGAATAGCTGACTTGTTGACATCACTTGTTTAACTAGCACTAGCATGCAGTATTATGTGTATCGTCTGAGAGACAATTACAAAATGTTTTCGTCATTGCCAATGCCAAAAAATGCCATTGTTCATTAAGTCCAAACAATGGTGGTCGAATTCTAACAACTGATCAACAATGCGAACTTTTATAAGCAGTTCTCGATAATCAGTTCTCAACAATTATTTGTTATTATTAAAGTTTAACATTATAAAATTAACAAAATAATATAAAACTCATATCCTGGTGAAATAGCCACATGGCAGCCGAAAACCGTATACTCCCTTCCGGGTCTCCCACCATTCCTTAGCTTGTCGTGCATTCTTTCCAAAATTTGGGACTTTTAAAAAATGCTGTGGGACACGGGACAAATTGTTAAATAAAAAATCGGGACTGTCCCGCCAAAAGCGGGACGTCTGGTCACCTTATGTTACAGACTGCTTTGCTGTGGTAGTTAACTTTCTGAGGTGCATGTGTCAGCTCAGTCGGTGACCACGGAGCTACTCCTCAGGTATTTGATGCCCCCCTATGAGCGCGTACCTGAGATAAAGGGGTCGGCTGCAGTTGCTCTGTGTACTTTTCTGTACTTCGTGTTAAGGCAGCTCCACAGGCCTGACTACCTAAGAGTCCCGATGTCCACTGTATGACTTGAGGGTGGCACATCACCAGATTGAGAATGATTTGGGCTTCTAGTGGGTCCACCTGGCAGCCCACCAGGTATTCTCTTTGGATGAGTGCTGACTCACAGCGACCCCCTGTGTGTTTCTGAGGTGGTAGCTGTTTACAGGAGTAGAAAATCCAGTCCTTCTCCCGAGGAGCTGCTGGTGGTTTTGAACTGCCAGACTACGTGTTTGTGGAGTCCAACGCTTAAATTAACCTCTACACCACCAGGGGTCCATGTTTGGATGGGTATGAAGGCAAATGTATCATGCTTGGAGAGATTCCCTAGGATAAGTAAACCCCTCTGTCTAGGAGAACTTTCAGGCTGTTTTGAGAGTATACAAATGATTTCTGAAGAGTCTGACAATTTTAGAGTCATTTTCAGAAAATAATATAGGCCTATCTTATCACTTAAAAAATAATACAACACTTGGTGGTTTGTGGTTTTGCTTATTTGGTAGCCACAAAACGTTTCCGAAAGTGAAGTTTTGCTTTAGAGAATTTTCCAGGACCCCTCTGTCCACAAGTTGCATAAATGCTTATTGATTTGTGTTCCTTGTTCTATATTGTGCATCCTTGTCCCTCTGGGCCTGGTGTTTCCTCTTCTCCTCTGCCCAGAGCATTCTGGTCTGTTCTTATCTTGAAAAACAGCAGCTTCCGTGATTGCCAAAGAAGCAGAGAGGGGGCTTTCCAAAGCCCCTGGGCTGTTTTATGTTTAGAAACTCTGGGAGGCCGCTGGGAGAAATGGAGGGACTCTTCAGTCTATCAAGCGATACTCCAGGAAGCTTTGCTTTGCAGCTCTTGTGAGAACCACCTGCCTTGCACTCAGCTATTGTGGCTTCTCATGATTGGAGGAAGTGTAAATAGTCTTAAGAGAAGGATGGCTTCTCTTAGCAGTCTGTGCTCTGGTAAGGTTCGCTGCCTTCTTAATTAGGATTCCATCACTCCTCAGCGTCAAAATGTTTTCTAAAGGAACAGATCTCTAGAGCGGGCGTTTACTACAAAACATTGTGAAACTGTCTTGCAATAAAGTGATCTGCTTTGCAGGAAAATATCCAGGAAGTAGCCTATGCTGTCAAGTGGAAGCGTCTGCATAAAATGTCACTTCATCTCTCTCCTCTTCAGCACCTTTTGTTTTGTGGGAACAGGAGGTCAGTGGGAGCCCTCGAAAACACCTTTTGCATCTCAGTGTCTTAACGAATACTTTGCACCTTGAATGTGGGGCCTGGGAGAGAACACGCCCCTACACACATAGTGAATTCACTTTTTACTTCCAATCTCATTAACCTAAAACGAAAGCAGTCTCGTGGGCACACCTGGTAGACATAGAAACCAGGCTGAAATGTGGACAAACATATCAGAAACGTTTACATGAAATTTGGAGGTTTTCTCCAACCACCTGGTTCTACTCCACAGGGCTCTACTAAACCAAAAGCTACGCAATTGTGGTCTTGTTGTGTGTTGTGTTGTGTTTGGGGTTACTATAATTTTTCCTCCTGTCAAATGAGATCCAGCATAAGAGGGCAAATTAGTTGGGGGCTTGGACGTCTTTTTGCTCTTGGATTTCTATGTGAATAATGCTTTTCCTTTGAGTTTTGGGTGGGAGATCAAAATGATTCTCTGAGTACTGGAGCTCTTGGGATTTCCAGATATTCTGTTGTCTGGTCCATATCTCTTTAAACCAGTGTTAGGTCTCCCAACTTCTGTGTGGTCTCCCAATTTCTAGGCACTCTGTGCCTCTGATTGCTCACCAGGGTGTTCCATAACATATTCTGGTTGAGTTTTCAAGATCTCCAATTCCAGTGTCACTTTATTCCAGCAGCTTCCCTCCTACCTATGGTTCAACATCAGAACCCAGCCATCTGGTTTCCAGGGCTCTCTACAGACTGCCTTATTGGCTTTGCCATTCCAACCAGCCAGGCTGCTCACCCTTCGCGGATCGAAGCCTCCCCAAGGCTCTCTTCCTGCCTTTGCTCGTGTTGTCTCCCCACTTCCTCCCCCTCGCCCCCCATCCATGCTGGAGCCCCAGACACCCTCTCCCTTCTCTGAATACAGGGAGGGCCTTCCATCTTTGGAATTCCTGGGTGGTGAAAATGGGTCGTGCACTCAGCTGCTTACTGGAAGGCTGAAGTTTCAAGTCCACCCAGAGGTACCTTGGAAGAGAGGTCTGGAAATACACTTAACACAAAAAAAGAAGAAGAAAAAACCAGCCACGGACATAGTTGTAGTTTGATGCACAGGCCCCATGAGTTAAAGCTGAGGCAGAAGCAATTGTGATTTTGCTTTTGTGTCTACTGGCTTTATCTTTTGGCAGCTGCTCCTCTGTAGCCTACACACTGCCATCGAGTTGATTCCAACCGGATAGGGCAGAGCTGCTCCACCGAGTGGGACGCTTCCACAGACGAGAGCTGCTCCACGGGGTTTTGTGGAACTATAAACCTTCCTGGAAGCAGGAAGCCTCACCATCCTCCCACGGAGTGCCTGATAGGTTTGAATTGCCAGCCCAAAGCTTTGGCCATCACAATACCGGGACTTCTTAATCATATCTAATTGCACACCGCTGTTTTTATGTATTGTCTCCTGGCGAACATTGTTAACTGTCTTAGGTAGGGCTTAGTTGATGTTACATTTCTTGGTAACATCCAACATCTAATGCATAGCTCAGTACAACAGAGCTATTTTAGGAGCTTGATCCACCCATCCCTGAGATGGGAATTAATGTCTCACTCACTCACGGCCACCAAGTCGATTCCAATCCAGAGGGACCCTGTGGGCAAAGTAGAACTGCCTCTGTGGGTCTCTGAGGCTGTACATTTTTACGGAAGTAGAAAGCCTCATTTTCCCTCTGAGGAGCAGCTGGTAGATTTGAACCAGTGACCTCGTGGTTAGCAATCCAAGGTATAAGCTGTATGCCACCAGGGCTCCTTGGGGGAGTTTATATAAATACATATTTATTGGAAGAAGTACAGCCAGATGGCAAGATTTCATCCCATGTACTCTGGACATGTTGTCAGGAGAGACCAGTCCCTGGCGAAAGACGCCGTGCTCGGTAAAGCGGAGGGTGAGTGACAGAAACGTGGGAACAATTGTGAGGACGGCGCAGGAGAGGCAGTGGTTGTGCTGTAGAAGGTTTGCTGGGAGTGGGAGCCGACTCAAGAGCACCGAGCAGCATCACAGTTGATGTGGTTTCAACTTAATGTTTTTTGTTTTCCCGAAGGTGGTATAATTGTTCTAAGAAGATCAATTGATGCCGAAAGTTTAGCCTGTGATCTGGAAAACTTACTCTGTCGAACACACCTAAGAGTAGCCTTGATGGCGTCCTTTGGTGGTGCCCAGTGTTAAGCCCTCTCTGACTAGCTGAGAGGCTGGCAGTTTGAACCCACCCGGGGGCTCCTGGGGTGGGGGTGGGGAAGGCTTGATGATCCCAACCATGTGTTGGGATCGACTAGACAGCAGCTACTTTGGTTTGTGTTTTTCAACCGTGGACGGCCGGGAATTGGGAGAGGTACGCGCACGTCGGAACAATGGTGGCTTAGTGGGTTACTTATCGTGTATCTAACTCCACAGGAAAAAATTGATGCTTTCTTCTCTCGCGAAGCGGACAGCCTCAGAAGCCCACAGGGGCTGTGCTCCTCCATCCCACGGGGCCTCTGTAAGTCAGGATCCACCTGACGGCAGTGGGGTTTAAATATTAGGATAGGTCGCCGCTGGGGGAGTGGAAGCACACGCAACTAAGCGGAGTGAATGAGAGTGAGGTGTTCCTGACGCAGCCCTCGAACGTTCAGTCCTAACTTTTCTTGCCTTCGACTCGACCCTTCTTGCTCCAGCAAACAATACCCCACCCCTCTGCCACCCAACTCAGAGGCCGCCCTGTGAGCCAGACTGTGGAAAACGGCCAGGAGGGACGGTCTCAGAGGGTGCTTCTAGTCTTAGGATTTTGTGTTTCTGGGGCTGCCTTGCTCCCCGTTGTAGCAGGGATGGGTGACGGGGATAGGTATGTGCCGTCCAAATTCCACCACGACCGTGCACTTGGTCAGAGGCAGACAGAGCTAGAGAAAGAAACGGGCTCTCTTTCTAGAAAATGCCTCTCTCCCTCCATAAATTCCCTTTAGAAGGGGACCTGTCAGCTGAGCATTACCTCATCAGCAAAAAGCTTTTTGTGGGCTAGCAACCCCTCAGGAATCGGGGAGCCGAGGGAGACAGCTGTCTTTAGAAACCCACCATTTGAAGGGCTTCCATGAGTAGCATGAAGGGCCGACCAGTCGTCACTCCTAAAAGCCTGTCTTAATGGCTGAAGACTTTGTCTTGGACACTATTAAGATTTCCAGATCGCAGGACTCATTTCTTCCTATGAAGAGAAGGGGCAGGTCAGAAGCAAAAAAAATTAAATCTTGGATCTCATCTATGAACCCCCATCCCACCCCTGGGCCCCCACCCCCTTATTTTTTTCATCCCTTGCATAATGCAGCTTACTTTTTCTTTTGGTTACAGTGTTTGCATTTAAACGGAATCATCATTGTCCAGGAGCAAATGTGGTCTTTTAATATTATTTGGGAGAACAGCGGGACTTCGGGGCAGCCGGTACCAGCACAATAGCTCACTCAGGCTACTGCTGTCTCGCTGTAGACATGTTAATTAATATATTTCTCTGACACCTAGGTGATTGAAATAGCAATTAAAGAGTAATTAAAATGTTTACTTCTTGTAGGAATGTCAACTAAGATGTGGAATATAGCAATTACCTATGACGGGTTCGAGGAAGATGATGAGGTCTTTGAAGTAATTCTCAACTCCCCCGTGAATGCCGTTCTTGGCACAAAGACAAAAGCTGCAGTGAAAATTTTGGACTCAAAAGGAGGTATTCTTTTGATCCTCATCTAGGACTCAGGAGCCTGCCTGGCGCGGTGGCTGCTTGCTGTCGGCAGCCCCTGTGCTTGATAATGCCATCAACCCCCGGTGCTTCGGCTCTTGTCAGGGAGCCTCCTCCGTCCTGACGGAGCCTCTTTTATGCTGCTTTCTCCCTCATGTGGCTTTTCCTCCTGCTAAGAATGCGCTGCAGAAAAAGCAACAAGTCAGCCGCTGTTGGGGTTTTTTTCCCCTCTCCCCCACCTTCCCCTTCCCATTTGTTGTTCCCACCGAGGGGGGGAAACAATGTTGATGAGAATCCAGGGACAATTACCCCAGCCCCCTCCCGTGAGAAGGGCTGTCATTATTTCCCTCCGTTGACAGAGGGCCTTGGCTGCTCCACACTGGTAGTATGACCGGGAGCATTCTCAGAGAGGCAGTATTGGAGACAAATAGACGTGAAAGACGCAGCTGGCTCGGGGAGTCGGGGGTGGGTGGAGAATATTAATGGATGACTTTGGGCTGCAGAGCCAAGCAGGTCCTGCCTGGTCTATGGCGAGGCCAACCCTGCGAACTAAGCAAAATAAAGACCAGCCCAAGGCCTGGCCTCTGGTCTCGTTTCCCCCAGGACCAAATGCCCTCTCATTATTGTTTGTCGAGCATGTGACACGCGTTCCTGGGACCCTGCTCAGGCTGGTCGCCCCATCTTCACACCTGCCGTGCCCCACGTGGTCCCTATCTGCTCCTGACCTGGAACCTATGACCGCCTCTTCTTCTTCGCACGCTGGCCTACAAATGAACGCTCCCCTCTGTCCTTTATAAAACTCTTGTTTCTACGTCTCTCCCTACCACTTTGCCTCACCACCTGAGTTTCTCCCCGCTTCCCCAAGAAATTTCTGCTCACGTGGAGGACACAGAGTGCATGAAATGCATGCTTTGGATGTGACGCGTGAGCGACCAGAGGGGCCTTAACCTCAGATCTGCCGAGGTTAGGCGTCCCATCCAGCAGGCCCAGGAAGACTTGGGTCTTTGTTCTGTAATGGTCGGATGCTCCTTTTCAAAACCTGCCACTCGGTTCACTGACACCTTCAGGCAACTCCGGCGTCCACATCTGGGCGATCCCGGACAGGGCTGGGTGTCGGGCGCTGCTTGTGATGTGCGCTTTGATCCGTGTCCAGAACTGCCGTATTGAGGCCTTTCCCCCCAACGATACGGTGTCCTGAGTATAAAATCAGGAGAATTATTTTCATGTGTGGCTTGTGACATCAATTTCATGACTTGCTAATCACCCTGTCGATGGTGCAGAAGGGCACAGCCCGCCCAGAGGGAAGCGGATGGGGAGAACAGAGGCGTTGCTGGCAAATGGCGACCAGGCAACATCTGGTGGGAACGCCATCCATCTAGGTTTAATGACAGGCGGCTCAGGGGCCGTGTCAACGCGATCACTTCTCCGCTTGTGTGAAACGAGCTGACCGTCTGCCGTCTTGTATGTCTGCAGGACAGTGCCATCATTCCCAAAGCAAGCACAGCCCGTGGGACAAGGGGGTTGGGCATCCGCCGCCCCCAGGGGCTTCCTCACCCACCACTTTTGGTCCCTTGCATCCGGAAAGAAGACCCCGCCCATCTTCTAAGAGGCTAGAGGTCACCAGAGGAGACACTCCACAGAGCTTTGATGCGACAGCGCTTTCTCGAATGAGCCTCAGGCCCCGTGGGAATGGCAGAATCGTAAGCATGGGGCCCAAGGAGGTCACGGGGGGGTCCGCTCATGCTGTGTCAGTCCTCCTGCCCCCACCTTGGGCCTGCTCCCACACCAGACCACGCAGAAGCCTTCGTCATGTTTATTAGCCATCTTAATCATGGAGAAATATGGGGTAAATGTTACTGTAAACTGCTTTGTTGGGATGTTTCTTGGGGGATAGGAATACCAGCAACAGAATTGTTTTGTAAAATCTTTCTACATTGAAGAACCACATTATTAATAACGGAGAGGAAGCCCCCCCTTTTATATTCCTTTTCAACTGATTCCTGCCACATTCTCCAAAAATTTGTTGATCACGATTCACGAATACTAATTACCACACGACCATAGCATAACACCTGACATTTTGACAAAGGCAGCTGCTATGAAACCACTGACAGCAACACAAACAATTGCACATTCATAGCACGGCCAGGTAAGCCAGGCGATTGGAAGCATCTTTGTAACGGAGTCGTAATGACAGCTCTGCCCGGAGCTCATTGGAAGGTTCAGAAAGTAAACTAGCAGAGTTTTATTGATCCTTTTAGATGCATGCATATATGTAAGCTGTGTTTACAAAAAAAAAAAAAAAGTTCTTATGATTCACAACAGGGCTGTTTTTATCAAAATGATACATTTCTGCTGAAACTCTACAAATCAGTTTTAGACATTTAGACCCCTTGTGACGGTGTCAACCAGTGCACTGCGGACTCCCGGCTGCTCCCCACTGGAAATGCTGCTCTGGGGCCTCCTGGAAGTGGATATGTTTGGTGGCCGTTAAAATAATCCAAAGACAAGTTCTCTGAAGCACCGATGAAGTAGATTTGAACCTCAGAGTGAGTGGGGGCCCTGCTTCCTTTGCAGACTCCCAGTGCCTTTTATGTACACAGACCAGGACGCTGCCCCTGCTCCCAGAGTTGTACGAATTGTGATGGTAGACATGTTGCTCCATCCGTAGCATTTCTCCTCCGGTTCCTTTTATAGTCAAGACAGGTAGAGGATGACCGGTAACTCTGGGTTAAAGCGAGGTTAACGAGCCATCTACATAGGTGTGAAACTCATGGCGATGGCCTTATTCACAGACCATTCTAACCAAGCACAGGCTCATGCGTGTGCGTGTGTGTGTGCCTGTGTGTACATGGGTGTGTGCCTGTATGTGTGCCTATGGGGACATGAATGTGTATGTGGGGGTGTACGTCTATGAATGTGGGTGTGAGTGGATATGTGTGCTTGTGTGTGTGTGTGTTTATGCATGTCTGTGGTTTTTTGGGCCTTGGGGTACTATAAACCCAAGGCTGTCAAGTCAGAATGAGCCCACAGGAGTTTCAAAGCTGTAATCTTTATGGTGGCAGATTGCCACAGCTTTCTCCCACGAAGCGGCTAGTGGGTTTGAACGGTTCACTTTCCAGTTAGCAGCTAGGTCCTTAACCACTGAGCCACATGGAGCTGCTCTGTGTATTTGAGGGTTATCAAAAAACTAAGAATGTCTCGTCTCCCTAGCCAGGTTAAGTTCTCGATTGTTAAATTCAAGGGTGATGGTATGCCCACCCCCCAGCTGCCTTTTGAAACAGTTCTTCCTCAGGAGAAAGACATGGTAGCCTGCCTTCAGCAAGATTCACATTGGAAACCCCTGGGGGCAGTTCTACCCTGTCTTAACGGTAAGGTGACCAGATGTCCCGCTTTTGGTGGGACAGTCCCAATTTTTAACAATTTTTCCTATGTCCCGAGGCGTTTTTAAAAAGTCCCGATTTTTTGAAAGAATGCACGACAAGCTAGGGTATATGGTTTTTGGCTGCCATGTGGCTATTTCGCCAGGATATATCAATGGAGTTTTATCAATGGTGTCCCACTTTTGTCCCACTTTACCAATGTTAAAATCTGGTCACCGTACTTAAAGAGTCACTATGAGTTGCTATCAACTTACTTGCAACATGTTTAGTTTAGTTTTTTTTTTGTGGTGGGGGGGATGATTAATGCAGAAACCAGCATTATTACATTGTTATCAGACCTAGTAATTTGTGAAATGTCAATGATCTAGACACAGAGAATCTGAATAAATATGTCTTTAAAATGTTCAGATATTAGCAAGACTTCACTGAACCGTTTTTTTTACCCACTGCTAATTAGTATTCAAGCCAATTCAGTTTCATCACTGAGAGATAACCCTGATCACATTTTGTTTTCTGTTGACTTTAGGTTCATCCCTCCTCTGTTTTTAGAAATGGAACAGACATCATCTATCATGTAAGCCTACTTTGAGGGGATTCCTAATTTCCTTGACTCTATGAATGCAGAGTATTTTCATCTCTTTTAGACGTATCTAGTCCTCCTAAAACAGTGGTTCTCAACCTTCCTAATACTGTGACCCTTTAATACAGTTCATCATGTTGTGGTGACCCCCCCCAACCATAAAATTATTTTCATTGCCACTTCATAACTGTCATTTTGCTATTGCTATGAATCAGGCGACCCCTGTGAAAGGGTCCAGGTTGAGAACCGCTGTCCTAAAAACTTGCTTTAAAATGTTTTCTCTTCAATCCTCTATTGAGAGCTCAGGAAAAAACAAAAAGTTCACAATTTTAGAATTGCTCGTATTTGGAACAATTTTTTTTGTTTGCCACCTTGATGTCTGCCTTTCCTCATTGTTGTTGTTTGTTGACTTCCGCAAGTATCATGGGACAGTGGCCCTGAAGCTGGAGAGCGACAGCTCCCCCACTCCCCAGGCCAAAGCTTCCATCACCAGCCAGCCCCCCAAAACCCTCAGAGCAGCCCAAGGGCCTCAAGCCAATAAGGTGGAATCCACAACAGAGTCACAATCTGCCAGACAGGTATGGAAATCTTCTGACTTCCTACTCACCTTGTCACGAGCTGTTTGCTGGGCCCTAAGCACACAGTCATCTCCAAGCGCGGGGGCAGTTCACTCAACATACATCCTTCCCAACAAATGAGACTCCAGCAAGGAGGTGTGGGAGCCACTTACATTTGAGATGCTTCTTGCTTAACGGCCTCTCTCTCTCATAGGACCGTTTGCCCTCCTTCCCCAAGAATTGTACTCTGGAATTAAAGGGACTTTTCTATCTTGACGAAAGCCGTCAAAAGCTGTATCAGTGCAATGGGATTGCCTGGACAGCCCGGAACCCCCAAACCAAGGTGAGACCCCGGCCGAGAGCCAAGTACCATTCCCAGAAATATGCTCGGTGATAAACTCGTAGAAAGAGAGCAGGCAATCTCGCCCGTCACTGTCAGCTTAGGCTGCCTCTACTGTTTCACACCTAAAAGAACTATTTAAAAGTTGTAAAACCTCTTGGTTGAACCAATACAGATTAAGAAGATGTTTACTTAGTGATTTAAATCAGTACAGTTAAAGGCGTTTAAGTCAAGGAAATCAATACCATTTAAGAAGGTGTTTGCTTATTTTTGTTGGTGTTGAGAATATACATAACATCCACCAATGTCACAATGTCTACATATTCAATTTAATGGCGTTGATTACGATCTTCGAGTTGCACAACCATTCTGACCCTCCTTTTCTGAATTGTCCACCCCAATCTCTGACCCATCCTCCCCGAACACAGACCTGCTTCCCCTCCTCCCTTCTGATCGGATCTTCCCAGTTGGGATCCCATATAGATTTCTGTAAAAGAACACAGCGGCCCAGACAAGCATTCATTGGCATGTTGGCCGACTGCTGTGCGGGTTAAAGAAGACTTCAGGGGATAGTTTTGGGCTTGAGGCATAATAATTATCTTGGGGCAATAATTTGGAGGTCCATTCAGCCTCCGTGGGCCCAGAAAGTCTAGATTTCACAAGAATGTCAAATTTTGTTCTATATCCCCCCTCTTCCCTTATTTTTTTTAAAAAAGAAGTATGGTAATTGCACTATATAAAATCGAAGCATCGTGTTCTCTATTTGAAGCCATTGGATGTGTCAAGGTGGAGAATTGGGAGTAAGGCTGACCCCGTTTCTGGTGGCCAACATGACCCTCTTCAAGGCAAGAAAATGATAAGGCTCCTTATGCTGAGAGCAGACTAGGGATTGTAAAGGCTGTTGTGATGTGGACCTGGCTGCTGTTTTTCAGGAGGTGGAAGATAAATCCTGCCCAGCAGGGTGGCGCCATCACTCAGGCTACTGCCATTTGTTGGTCACCGAGGAGAAACACACCTGGACCACAGCTGCCCAAGCCTGCACAGAACAGTAAGAAACCCTAGTTCACATTTGATTGGTGCTTCTTCTCAGTTTTATTTATCCGTGTGTAAAGAAGTATTTTGTTTTCTGTTCTACAATTTCTCTATTTTCTCATGGACCTGTCGAGGGACCTCGTTCATTCAACAAGCACTGCGGGCCTTGTGTGTGTCAAGCAGCAAGGTCCGTATAGTTAAGAGAGATTTGAAACTGACCTGGTTCATGGATCCTGACTTGGGTCATATCTCTTAAAGCTGTGGCATGGACACACTTCTAATGTTTTGCCTCACCATCTCAGTGTTTTGGAGACAGTCAACTGGCTTGCAGGTCCTGAGGACTTTTTCATGAGATCAGGATTCCTACCCAGTGATTTGAAAATGCATGGTAATGATAGGTCTTTATATATATATATATATATATATATATATATATATATATTTATATTTATATATTTATATTGGGGGCTCTTACATCTTTCAGGATTCCTACCCAGTGATTTGAAAATGCATGGTAATGATAGGTCTTATATATATATATATACTTATATTGGGGGCTCTTACATCTTTTATCACAATCCAAACATTCTTCCAGTGTGTCAAGCACATTTTCACATATGCCACCATCATCATTTTCAAAGCATTCTCTTCCCACTTGAGCCCCTGATATCAGCTCCCCATTTCTTCACCCTCCCTCCCTCCCCAGTCCTCCCTCCCTCATGAACCCTTGATAAGTTACAGATTATTTTTTTCCACATCTTACAGCATTCTCCGTTGCCCCTCCCCCACTTTTCGGATTTCCTGTGTTTCGGGCTCTATCTGTAGCAGTGTGCATGCTCTGGTCTAATCCAATTTATAGGGTAGAATTGAGGTCATGATAGGTCTTTTAGCATCAGGATTATGTCATTGGAAGAGGCACTAATCATTATGGAGCTAGACAAGTGGGACCACACAGCTCTGGGTACTAAAAACCTCACTGAAGAATGACCTGTGGTCAAATAGTGGCAACACAATTTATCCAGGACTTTACAATTGGGAACAGTACACTTAGATCAAGGTGCCCCGTGGATGCCAATGGAGACTAGAGAAGTCCCTGGCAAATATCAGTCATTTTCTGAAATGCAAATGGTTGTGCTCATCTAAAATCCCCACTAGAAAATGAAAGGGCAAGGTTTGGATTTTAGAAAAGTTAGTCTTGATCTCTGTGTTTCATAAAAGTCATAAATCCGGAAAAGACAAGCTCTTATGAAAAGGCAAGCAAGCCAATACCAACTGGCAAACGATGTGGACCCTTCGCAGTGCGTCAAAAAGAAGTTACTCAAAGCCATTGGACGTGAGGAAAACGTGCGCTACAACCTCAAAGAGAGAGCATTTTACATCCACTGACAGCCCAGTGTTTGACCGTCGCACCACCAGGTCTCCTTTTCTCTCTCTTTTTGTTGTTTTTTTAATAAATAATTTTATTGGGGGTTCTTACAGCTCTTATCACAATCCATACATCAATTGTATCAAGCACATTTGTACAAATATCACCATCATCATTTTCAAAACATTTTCTACTCAAGCCCTTGGCATCAGCTTTTTTCCCTCCCCCACCCCCTTTCTGTGAACCCTTGATAAATGATAAATTATTATTATTTTCCTATCTTATACCATCTGCTGTCTCCCTTGACCCACATCTCTGGTGTTCATTCCCTCATGGGGGGCAGGTGCAAATGTCCATCATTGAGATCAGTTCTCTACTTTTCCCACTTCCTTCCCCCCTACCCTCAGGTGTCGCTACCCCATTACTGTTCCTGGAGGGGTTATCTGTACTGGATTCCATGTGTTGAGAGTTCTTATCTGTACCTGTGTGCATGCTCCGGTCTAGATGGATTTGTAAGGTAGAACTGGGGTCATGATAGTGGGCAGGGGCGGGAGCGGGCATTAAAGAGCTAGAGGAATGTTGTGTGTTTCATCAGTGCTATACAGTACCCTGGCTGACTCGTTCCTTCCTTGTGACTCTTCTATGAGGGGATGTCCAATTGTCTACACTCTGGCCCCTCTTGTTTGCATTGAGATGATGGTTTTGGGTTTTCTGATGCCTGATACCTGATCCTGTGGATACCTCATGATCTCACAGGCTGGTGTGCTTCTTCCATGTGGGCTTTGTTGCTTCCCTGCTAGATGGCCGCTTGTTTAACTTCAAGCCTTTAAGACCCCAAGTGCTATATCTTCTAATAGCCAGGCACCATCAGCTTTTTTCACCATATTTGCTTATGCAACCATTTTGTCTTCAGTGATCATGTTGAAAGGTGAGCATCACAGGATGCCAGGTTATTAGAACAAAGTGTTCTTGCATTGAGGGAGGACTTTAGTAGAGGTCCCAGCGTCCATCTGATACATTGATACTTAACATGTAAATGTATGTACATAGACCTATATCCCTAAAAAACAAAACTCCCTACCATTGAATTGATGCCGACTGATAGCGACCCTATAGGACAAGGTCGAACTGGCCCTTTGGGGTCCTGAGGAGCAGACCGTGGTTTTGAACAGAGAAACTTGCAGTTTGCAGCCCAATGCTTTAACCATGGCACCACCAGGGCTTCTTCATTCAGTTATGTGGTGGGCTGTGATCTGCAAGGTCAGCAGTTCAAAACCACTTTGTAGGAGAAAGATGGGGCTTTTTACTCCCATAAAGAGTTAAAGTCTCGGAAACTGACAGGGCAGTTCTACCCTGTACTAAAGCGTCACTAGGAGCCAGCATTGACTCTATCGCAGTGAGGTGGGTTTTTTTCATATCCACTAGAACAGCTAAAATCATCAAGATTGGCAGTACCAAATGTTGATAAGGAGACAGAGTGAATAATTCAATGTTTGTAAAAGTGTAATCTTTCAATGCACTATTAGTGTAAAATGTGTACGAAGATTATGTAGAACTGTTGGGAAGTTTCTTATAAAGTGCATACATCTACCCTAACAATTCCATTACTTTTTGTTAATTGAAGAGGAATAAAGGTAAATGTTTCTATACTTATAGATGACATACACAAGAATTTCACAGCTAACTTATTTATAATTCTCAAAGCTTAGGTTATTTGTTGCTTTATTGCCATTGTGGATTTGTACGAGTTCTGTATCTCGTGTCCAGGAACAGCAATTGTTTCATAAGCAAAATGATAGAATTGAATTACTGAACCCTCCAACAGTATGGGAAACCTTGAAACTTTACGGTGAGAGACAGCAACCTGATGCACACAAAATACATGTTGTATTATTTCTTCTGTGTGAGTAGGAAATAGTAATCTCTGGTGTTAGAAGTTAAAATCAGCTCTGGCAGGCATTGGGATAACTTAGATTTCAAGTTTTTGAGTTATACGTGCATAATTTTGCATCTCCTACAGCAAAGACAAACCAGGACTTGTATGGAATTTAAGTTTCATTTGGATTTACATCAAAGTGAACTTTCAGAGTAAATCGGAAGTACACTGGAGTTCCAAGTTGATGGGTGCATTTATTCATTCATCAAACATTTATCACGCACTGATTCTATGGCAGGTTCTGGGACGTCTGAGGAGCTGAGGTGGTACAGGGGTTGGGAGTGTAACTGCTAATCAAATGGTTGGCTGTTTGCATCTGCCAGCCTCTACACAGGAGAATGAGGTGTCTCTCTGCTTTCATCAAGGTTGCACCCTTGGGACTCCTCTGAGCTCATTCTACTCAGTCTTAATGGGTTGTTATAAGTCAGACTCCATTGGACAGCAATGGGGTTTTTTAACAGGGAATGTCTAGGCTAGACCCTACATTTGGAATAGGTATCATCGCCTAGTCTCGTTCTTCACAATGAAATCCAAGCGCTAAGCCATTCATTGTTTTCATTCCTAACCTTCAGAGAAATGGGCAAAATGACCCTCCAGACCCAGCTGTTCTATGTGGCAAGTCTCAGCCCCTATATTTCACATTGTACGGACCTTACCTAGAACCCCTGGTGGCATAGTGGTTATGCATTAGACTGCAATCTGAAAAGTCAGAAGTTCAAAACCACCAGCCAGTCCATGGAAGAAAGATGGGACTTTCTACTCTTGTAAAGAGTTACAGCCAGGAAAACCCACAGGAGCTATTCTACCTTGTCCTATAGGGTCGCTACGTGTCCGCATCAACTTGATGGCAGTTAGCAAAAAAAAAAGTCTCCATACAGTCCCAATTGTGCCTTCCCACAGCACTCTATCAGAAATGTGAAAGTCATTGCATTTAAATGATAGTATTTCATTTTCATTGAGTTGATAGCTTATTATCAGTACAATGAAGGCGTTCCCTCTACTTAGACATAAAGATATGAGGTACCAGCCATATTTTTGCAATGCATGTCTAAAAGGTTGTGTTATTGGTCGGTGTTGCTGGGTTTCCCTCCAGCCAGACGGCACCATGGTTAGGAGCTCAGTTGCCAACCAAAAGGTCGGCAGCTCAAACCCACCGACCTTGGAAACCCGGTGGAGCAGCACTGCTCTGTCTTGTGAGCTCCCTAGGAGTTGAATCAACGCAATGGCAGTGGTTGGGGTGCGGGTTGGTCATCTGTACAGTAGCCGACGGTCAGCTTTCTCCAGTAAAGCAGCTGGGTGGGTGCAGGTTGCCAGATGTGTAGTGAGCAGTGGAAAGCGGAACCATTTCATCATCGGGGCTGCTTCTTCAGTGTCATAAGGAGAAAGGCACTTTGTTCTGGAGTGAGCTGTTACAAAATCTATTGCAAGGCCCGAACCCCGTCCACCCTCTATGACTTCAGCAGCTCAGACATGGTATGTTGAGCAGGTTCAGAACTACTCGGTGCCAATTATTTAAAGTTGCTCCCATGAATCTCCTTAGTGCCAGGGTGTTATTTTAAGCTATAGAACTATGACTTCTTTTTCAATATAAACTGACAAATGTCCTTAGAACAACAGCAAACTAGCTAAGAGGAGGTACCAAGAGGCAGAAATAAGGGGAAAGCGGCAGTGGGGCAGGAGGAAGGTAAAAGGAAACAGAGGCGGGACCAAGGAAGCAAAGCAATGGATAGGGGTATAAACACAAAGGTGTACATTTGTAAATACATTAATCCACCCAAAAAAAAGAGAAACTTTTTGGTGAACGCTGGGACTTTCCCAGGGTTTTTAGGAAGCAACTAATTATGTATTACGAACCCCAAATAATATACAGTCTTTCAAATTATAGTGTATCCACTTTCTATATTGGCCCAGAAATGAAAATACCTCTCTACCAAAGGGCATTTCTGCTGGCGTTCCAGGTAAGGCTAGACAGCACGAGGTGGCGTTTTGTTCTCTTACACACGGGCTGCTCTGAGCTGGAACCAACTCATCAGTACCCAACAGCTGCACACGGGTCAGAATCAACCGATGGCACCCAGCAACAACAGCATGGGTGCAATGTGCTTACATTTTTGTCTTAGGGACCATCACTGGGCTCTCTCAGCGATTTTCTCCAGCTTCCTTGTTGGAAGGCCCCTTCCAGGTTCATTCACAGAGTCCGTGCCTCAGTCGGAAGAGTAAAATTTACTTTACCCCTTGTCCCTAATCAGATTGCCAGCTCAACTCAAACCTTTATTGCCAATCTCCTTTCCTCTTCACTGGTGTTTCCTACGTTTCTAATCCAGAGGAGCCAGACTCTTAGATTAAGCATCTCTTGAATTTACATATTGTAATCTTGTCTGCTCGTTTCCTTTGCCAGTCATTGTACGTTTGGTAATTCTATTATTATAGATCATTATCTATGAAACCGTTTTGTTTTCCACAGCAGTGTCTGAAACCCCTGCTGGCCTGTTCTGACATGTTTACTTGGAAGTAGACGTCCGTTGTTGTGACTTGCGACGAGTCAGTTCCAATGCAGGGTGACCATCGGGCTGTCCAGGCTGTGACTTTTGTAAACAGACGGCCACACGTGTCCTCTGAGGGGCTCCCGGTGCCCCCACCTTTCCAGGACTAGCCTACCATTTAGCTGTTTGCACAACTCAGGACTCCATGAAATTGAACTGTGTTATCAAAACATAATTTTTAAAAAATAGTATTTATTTCTGCAGCCAGAAAAATAGAACTCCTGATTTTCATATTACACTTTAACTGCCTTCAGTTTTCAGAGCAATCAAAAGCTTCTTATTTATATATGTGTGCCTGCGTATTTTATTTTTTATCTATTCGGATAACATCTGCTGTATTTATGTGTGCATGACCATAAAGGACAAACATGCCACTTGTATAAAATCGTTGATGTAGAAATACCCAAGCATTTACTTTGCACAAAACTATGTCCTAATACTTTACTTATCCTAAACACAGATTTTTTTCCCCAGCTCCCGTGGGGGACTTCTTGCTTGGAGAGTCAAAAAGAAAATCAAAATAGTACCTGCACTTTGGTGGTGACTTGTATAAAGTTCCTTTTTAAACGTGAGAACGGGAAGAGATGTTAAACAGCCTGCAACAAGGCTCCGCGGCATCTGGGATGAGTCCCTGTGTCATGCGAATGGTTATCGTGCTCAGCTGCTCTCCAAAAGGTTGGCAGTTGAAGTCCAGCCAGAGGTGCCTCAGAAGAAAGGCCTGGCGATCTGCTGCTGAGAAATGAGTCGTTGGAGGCCCGATGGAGCCTGCTTCCACCCTGACACCCACCAGGTTGTCATTGGGTTGACTCGGAGCCAACTCACCCGCAACGGTGATGTTTGTTTCTGAGGATGACCTTGAAACCACAAGTGCTCTTTATCAAGAGGTCAGGGGCGAAGCAGAACTTAAACCCTGGCTTCGCTTGTTATGCAAAGCAGAGAGCACCCCTGAGCCCTCCCCATGATGGCAAGCTTGATGCTCCTGTATCCTCTGCCCCCAGTAAGTTAGAATTAGGGTATTGGCTGTGCCCGGGAGGGGAGAGATGCTGCTGTCTCGTCTGCAGTGGCTGTCAGACAGGAGCTGACAGCATTGATGAGGTCAGAGCCAGTTTAAGTTAAAAAAAAATTAACTCACTGCCATTAAGTCCATTCTGACTTATGCCAACCCTACAGGGCAGGGTAGACCTGCATCAGGTGGGTTTCCAAGCCTGGAACCTGTTACAGGAGTAGAAATCTTCATCTTTCTCTCTTGGTGTGGCTGGTGGTTTTGAACTGTTGACATCTTGGTTAGCAGTCCTCAGGGTAACCACTACCACCAGGTCACAGTACCCCAATTCAGCAGGCAGCCTTGAGATCATTCCATGCAGGCGTAAGAGCTTACTCATCGACCTACAAGTCACTGTTGCAGTGTAGAAATCCGTACCTGTGATGTGAGGGGGGAAAGAATCATTAAGAGATGCCTTCTGTTCTTTTATAGTAATCTAGGCGGAGGAATAGAGAAATGGATCTAAATTTGGGGATGGTGTGGGCACAATGAATATTGTGTCATTCAACAGTTGTCTAGTTTTATACGTCGTGCTCATTTTGTTCCCTGCCCGAGTTTCATGTCACTGGACACCACCAAGCAAAGAAATAATGATGATTTCACGAGAAAACGTTCTATCTCAGGAAGTGACTTTGGACAGATTGCTGGCGATGCTGCCTGGTCCATGTTGGGCCCCTCACCATAAGGTCGGTGGCTCGAACCCACCAGCAGCTCCTTGGGAGAAAGGTGAAACTTTCTGCCCCATAAAGATTACAAAGCATTGGAAGTCCTCTCTAGGGTCCGAGTCTGAATCAACTCAATAGCAATGAGGTATTTTTTTGGGGGCGGGGGGCGGGGGGGGATGTGTTATTTTAAACTATGACTTTTTTCTGAGAGCATTTTGAAGAGCCTAGTGAGCCCTGTAACCAGATGGGCAGGGAGACAACATGATGGATGAACACAGTGACTCCACCAATGGCCTTAAGAGGGGGACCCTTGTTAGGTGGACGCAGGGCCAGGCAGGGTTTTATCCTGGTTTGCACGGGGTCGCTATGGGCCATAACTGACTCGATGCCCTCTCACAGCAACAATCATAACAAGTGAGCCCTGCTGGCGAGGTAGGCACAATTAAATTTTGCTTACGGGAACATCTCTGGCAGCTGCAATAAGGATTCGTAAAGGACTTTATTGGGTGGAATATATGTTTGTTTTAGAAACGGGGTCTCTGAGTTCCACATGGTACATGAAGGTTTGATGGTGCTCATTTCCCAGGGTCACAGCTCCTGAGTCAGTTGACTAAAAACATCAGCTCCAAGCTCAGGAACCGGATTGCATCTGAAGACTTAGTTTGGACTACCATTCTGATTAAACTAACTGGAGAGTTGCCAGATGCCCATGATTTAGAAATATATTTCTTAAGAGAGCAGAAATATTTTGGCATCAACTAATTAATTAATATTTACAAATAGGCTGTTGCTAGATTCCCCCCAAATAGGTTTTAAACCTATTGAACTTCTGTATCATGGTCAGAACATTACAATAATATATCACTCTCCTTTGCTGCCACCTACCCCAAGCCTGCGGTTCAGTCTAAATCTCTGGGAAAAGGATACGAATTTCAAAAAGTTCATGGAGAAATGGAATGAGAAGATATTGGGATTCTCTCACAAACCCTTTGAAGTGTGTGTACCTCTACACATGCGCGCGCACACACACGGGAACTTTACAACATTCATGGGAAAATGTAATTGATGGGGGTGGGGGGGTAGAACAGTATAATGAATGGATAATGGAATTTTCCCACCACCAACTTCCTGAGTCCTCCTTGTATATATCTGCTACTGTTTTCTGGGCTGATGAGCCATTCTGACTCCTAGTGACCCCACGTGACAGAGTGGAACTGCATGCACCCTAGGGTTCCCCCCCCCCCCCCATAACCTTTATGGGCGCAGATCTCCAGCTCTTTCTCCCTCAGAATTGCTGAGTCAGTCTCAGCTGCCACACTTTTGATTAGCAGCCCAGGGCTCAACCATCGCCCCCCACCGCCACCGCTGCCTGCCCTTCTTGTCCTGCGGTGACTCATGTGATGCTCTTGAAATACCAGTATCTCAAATGCCATCAGGGTGATCCGTAGTGGAAAGCTTTCAGTGGACCTTCTGAATCAGACAGACTGGGAAAGAAGGCTGGCGATCTCCTTCCCAAAACTAGCCAATGAAAACTAGAGACCACAACAGAATATCGTCCAATATCCTGCTGGGAGGTGAGCCCACAGGGGAGGAAGCCGTCCTCGGGATTCATAGTGGCCATAGCCATGGACTCAAGTGTCCCAGTGGAGGTGCAAGGAGAGGGCACGTGATGAGGCAGCGTTTCGTCTTGTTGTACAGGGATCTCTGAGAGCTGCCGGACGTAACTGCGATTTCCAATGCTCAGGGCAGCAGCCCTCCAGAGATGCAGCGATGAGCTGCATTGAGTAACGCCCTGCACGAGACCTGTCCAAAGTATGGAAAAACAAGGACTTTTTTGAGGACTACGGTGTGCCTGACTCAAGCCAGGGCATTTTCAGTCGCTTCATATGCATGTGAAAGCTGGGCATTGGATAAGGAAGGCCGAAGATGAATCGGTATCTGGACCAGCATAGTTCTGGCAAAGAAAATTGAAAGTACCATGGACTTCCAAAAGAACAAGCACATCAATCCTGGACGAAGTCCAGCCCGAATGCTCCTCGGAGGCGAGGAAGATGAGACAGCATCTCAGGTACTTTGGCCAGGCTGTCAGGAGAGAGCAGCCCCAGGGGAAGGACATCATGCTTGGTAAAGTGGAGGGGCAGGGAACTAGAGGAAGACCCTCAACAAGATGGATTGATCCAGTGGCTTCAGCGATGGGCTCAAAGTAAGCACAACTGTGCGGGTGGGACAAGAGCGAGCAGAGTTCTGTTTTGTGATACATAAGGGTCACCATGAGTCGGAGCCAACTTGAGGGAACCTAGCAACATTAGCAACGTATCTCTTCTCTATCTCCGGCTCTCTCTGCAGTTTTCATTTTGTCTTGTTTTTTAATCTGATATTTATTTATGTCATATCAGCAGAAACGCACCATCGCGCCTGTTGTCACTGAGGCTCTTGTTTTCATTTGTTTGCCTGTAGACTCCTGGGCAGCCTGGTAACTGTCCTCACCAGGCAGCATATGCAATGGCTCTGGGACATGAGTGGAAGGCGGCCCTTCTGGATAGGCAAGTATCTGTGCTGCATGGGGGAGGGAGAGGAGGGCACCAAGAGCTTGGACGCTTCCTTCCCTCGTGTCCTGGGGGACAGTGTGTCCTGGGGGACAGTGTGTCCACGGCCTGCCGATAGCAGTCCATAGCTTAGCTGTGTCGGCCACTTAGCAGCCTTTTACACCTTGTGATAGAATGATTTCATTTTAAAACATCAATCTCAAAGAAATAATTAGCATTGTGATTAGATTTATAGGGAAGAGAGCTCACCCCAATTTCTAAAAATTAAAAACCAGTAATAAGAAACACTGTAAATCAGAGATGGTTAAACAAACGATGATCTAGCCATGTGAAGATAGATTTAATATATAAGGCTTTTGTAAGGCTTTAAATGTTAAAGACATGACAAAATATATGTGAGATGCATATTGTGCTGTATAGAGGATGTGTAATTTATTGCGATTGTGGCAAGGTGTGAAGTAAAGCAAAGTCTACAGCCCTAGAAAGAATGAAGTAATATAGAATGAAAAAAAAAAAGAATTTATATGTATGTGGTGATTGTATATAAATGTAGTTATGTGCGTATGCAAAAATATTAGAGATAGCTTACTCCAGGTGGGATCTTGATTTTGTAATCTTGATTTTGTTTAATTTAGGATTTTAAAATATTTTCTACAGTTTTAACAATTAAAAAATTCCCATGGGACATCAAAGCCAATAGTCTCATCACCTCCCCTTCAGAGTATTTTATTTTAAAACAAAACAAACAAAGAACCCTGAAGGACACAGTATTAGCACCTCCAAATTTCTGCTATGTCCAGTGAGTCTCTAAATGTTGAAGTTATCTGAGAACATGAAAGTTGAAAATCTGGCAGATAAGCTATTTCCTGCCTGATTTCAATGGTCTCTCCTCACAAAGTAGTGAGCATAGCATTATGTGATCAATAATTCAGATAGATACTCCCAAAGGAGAGAGAGAATTACTAACCAAATGGATTCCTTTTGATTCCACCCTCCAGGGTGGGTGGAAGGACCCGTTGGGGGAGGTTCGTTTCCTCTGTAACTAAGGGTGCTTCGCAATCACCCTGTTTGGGAGACGCCGGGTCATTCTATCCCAGGGGAGCCGGTATCTCATTCTCTTTATTTCAAGGAGGGAAAGTAGATGAAGTCTACGTTAAGAAAACACAACAGCAGCTTTACACCATTCAAGTGCAAGGTGTAAATGTACCGTGGGAATGGGGGGACAAGCGGATACAAGCTGCTGTTTGTGGCAATATTGTATCAGGGAGAAAACTTAAATCCGAGATGAAAACTAATTCCCGGAATGCTGCTTTCAAGTATGAAACACAAGACATCTTCGTGATGGGGAAGACCAGGAGAACAGTAGACAACGGAAGAGCAGCACAGCAGTAGCTGCTTCTCTGGTCGTTCTGCCTGCAGGACTGTATGACACGCAATAAAACCAAGCTCATGGCCGTTGAGTCAGTTCCAACCCATCATGGCCCTGTAGGACAGGGTGGAGCTGCCCCGTGAGTGTCTGAGGCTGTAACTTTCCAAGAGAGTAGAAAGTCCCATCTTTCTCCTGCAATAACAATAACCTGCTGTATGTTAAATACGTATATAATGAAGCTGGAAGAAGTTCATGGGAAAATGGAATTGAAAAATATTGGCATGTTTTCCAAAAAGAGTCTAAAGCCCTCTTATATATGAAAATGTCGAGTTGCACATGCATTATCTTATTTGATCCTCAAAACGGTTCTTGATGTACGTAATTTTATCCCCACTTTTTAGATGGGTTTTTTAAAACCTCAGCTTAAGTTTCCGTGCAAGGAGGGTTTTCTAGCAAGTTGTGACACTGGGGTTTGAACTCAGGTCTGCCTGACTCCAAGGCCCTGCTCTTAACTGCATCCTACAGGATTTTCGCTCCTGCTACTTCTTTTGGCATCTATGGGTGGTGAAAACACTTCACACACGTTCCTGTTAAATGGAAGTTGACCGTTTAAATTCACCCAGAGGAACTTTGGGGAAAAAACTCTGGTGATCGACTTCCAAGATAATCAGCTATTGAAAACCCTTTGGGTCACAGTTCTGTTGGGAAACACACAAGGGGTCAGCATGAGTCAGCATCTACTAGATACCAACTAGTTATCAACTTGATTTAGAGCCTAGGTCTTCATATGCATGTGATTCCTGAGTTAGATCACGTGGAAGGATAAATGTGATCAAATGACTTCACCCTGTTTGTTTTTCTGTTCTTGGTGCACATCAGGCTTGAGCGACCGAGGACAGGGTGGCCACTGGGAGTGGATTGGTGGTGAGCCAGTCACCTTCACCAACTGGAGGAAACTACCCCCGCAACCTTCAAAGCCTGGGAGGAACTGTGTCTTGGTTCAAAGACAAGGGAAATGGCAAGCCAAGGACTGTAGGCTGGGCAAGCCTCACAGCTATGTATGCTCCAGGAAACTCTAAGTGCTACTGCCCGTCCAGGGGCCCACCCAGGTTCACACCTATTTATTTATAGGATTTGTGACTGTGGCTCAAGAGAAAACCAAGAGTTGTGACTGATCTGTTAACATTTATAAAATCATAGATTATGAGTGCTTCTCTCCAGTTAAAAATGGAACATAAAAGGATTGGAGAATGAATATTTCTTGACAAGACGAGATTGAATGTTTTGTATCACGGTATACATTGTAATTAATGGACAAGCCTGCGGTACTATAGGATGTGAGGTGTACTTCTCCCAGGAGACATCTTCCTCTCTTCTGAAAATAAGTCTCAGGCAACACTAATATCATGACCCTTGGAAATTTTTGTCCTATTACCTCAAATGAGACCTTTCTGAAATCTACAGCAGGCACACCTACCATGTCAGCCTGAATGTGGTGAACCTGTCAGTTTACTGACCAGGGCTGAATTGCCCAAGGTCGCTCAGTCCTTGTAAATGTGGTCCCTGACATTAAAAACTGTGGACCAAAGAAGGAACAATTTTTTCTTTAAAAGGTCTGGTGGCCAAGGGCGGTTTTAGATGAGAGAGCCACTCTTTAGGCTCATCTCCGAAGCTCAAGTTCAAGCAAGCCTTCAGGGGACTCCCTTTATCTCCAAGGTCTATACTTCAATAGTCATTAAACAGATCCCCTTTGCCAGTGAGAATCTTGGCTGTGTAACAGTACAAAGCTACTGATTGGGGTTCCCTGGCCTTGCAGAATCATGGTAACTTTGAAGTGCTGTGGGTCTCTTCCCTGCCATGTGGAATACTATCTGGCATAGCTCAAGGACATTTGAAATAGAGAGTATATACAAATGATGACTAACATAAGGGGAGGAAATATTGCTTCCTCTGAAATGTGCTAGCGAACTGTGCTGATGCACGATGAAAAGTTATACTGAAAACAGAGCCCTTGAAAGCCTATGTTCTTAGAAAAAGATTTCAGTGCAATTCTGAGCTTTTAAATCTTTAATCTTTGCAGAAATGCCATGCTAACTCGATTCTCTAATGTGCGGGAACCTTATTAATTTATAAGCTCAGTTGAGGGAAGCATTTTTGTGGCAGTGAATTCCAGGACTAATTACAGGCCATTAGAACCTTACATCTGCAATATTTCCTCCAATTTTTTTCTCTTCCCAATCAATGAAAAGTTTGGTTATGCCAGGTGTAACTTTCCGCATGAATCTCAGTGCAGCATCAGAACCAAGTAGGTTACCAACTAGACTAGGATTTAGGTGCAGGTTTTATTATAACGTGTTTTTTTCCCACTGCAATCCGTCAATGTTGACTCATAGCAAATCCCGATGGGTTTCTGAGACTGTTTACGAGAGTAGAAAGCATGGTCTTTCTCCTTCAGAGCTACTGGTGGTTTTGAACTGCCTACCATGCAGATCACAACATATAACCGCTATGCCACTATACCACCAGGACTCCATTATAACAATACCTTGGGTGAAACCAATTTTATTTGAACCAATCCAGTGCAGCTTTGGATATCAAAAACAGGATAAGCTTCGTATGGAATCTTGCTTTGGGTGGATAGGAAAAATGTACAGAGAGAGGTTAGGGTAAGACTCCGATGACCTACCTCTGACTTAAACCTAAACATTGGGGTGGAATCGGTTGGCCTCTTGCCTTACACGGAAGACTGGTTTAGGACATAGTTCTCCCATGTCCCAAAAGCAGTCCCAGATGTTTAACCAAATGATGTCAAGCCCACCTTCCTGCACCAGTTCCAGTCAGATTCCAACTGAGGCACTGCTTCAGCAGGATGGAAAGGGGGGATTCAGTGTAGAGTAGAGACGAGTTGATTTCAAGGATTCCATGCCGGGTGGCCACGCAGACGTTTAACAAATGAGAAATTCAAGGACCACTCCTCCCTATGGGAACTCTAGAACTTTCTAGACTTTTTACATGGGAAATATAGAATTCTGCCAATGCTGTGAAATTCGGGAAGCCTAGTAATGTTAGCATACATGCCTGCAAGGAAAAGATTTAAATAGAATTGCAAATGATAGCATACAGACAAAATGTTTTGATATTTATAACAAGAAGATAACCACTATAATTATAGTATAAAACCTATAATATATCAACCCATCCAAGCCCACTGTCTTCCAGTCAGTGGGGCCTTATAGCAGCCCTATGGGACAGAAAAGAACTGTTCTTGGCTTTCTGAGACACCTCACAGTCTCCCTGTGGGCAGGTGGTACTGACCTTACCTGCCATTAGTATCCAACCCTTTTGACTCACCAAATTACCCCATCTCCATAATATACTAGAACAACTATAATAAAATAGGAGATGATTTTAAAAAATTCCTGATGGCAAAAACACTCATTTAGTTGTAAACTCTCAGTTCAGTGATTGAAAGATAATGCAAAACCAAACAAAACCAACAGGCAAGTTAGGGTGCTGAGCAACTATGGCCTTATGGCCTCCTCATGATTGGGCCCTGGCTAGGGGGTGGGGGAAAGAACAGGGAGTGTGAGGTTGGCATGTCCCTCCTCGCTTGATGTACCATAGCTGGCCCGAAGTTTCTGGTGGGAGTGGGAAGAAAAGATTTGGCCTCATGGGTAGGACAGGAATGAGGGCGTATGGGAGAGAACCAGGAAAGAGGAGAGAGGGGTTCAGTAGGAGAGGATGAGGTTGCTGGTTGCTGGGAAGGAGACCATCAGAAAGAAGCACCTGAACACCGCCCAGTCCTCTTTCAAACTTGAATTCTGACTCAGGTAAAGCCCTCCTTTATCCATGGGTGTCGAACCAAGCTCAGTAGTCTGTAGCTTTTCCGAATCCTCAGGAGTTTGGGTCTTTTACAAATACACAGCCTGTTTTCACTAAAAACAAGCCTAAAACAGGATAGTCATTTCTGTTGTTTATTTTGAATACAGCCAAGAAGGCTATACATACGTCTTTTCATGAACACGATGGTTCTGTGTAATTTAAACCATAAACTGGTGCTGATTAATTTCTTCAACAAGGCAGCATATAATATGTACTGTATCTAGTGTTAAATCAAAATGAATAAAGTATACTTATTTCTAGTTTGGGTCCATTGCTCCTTAAGTGTTCAATATTTCATGGTTTTCCTAGGGATACATGGGTTGCGTATTTTAATAATTTGCAGGAAAGCAGGGGGTGGGGAGAAAATGTAATGCATTTCTTTTATGTTTACACTTTCAACCACCCTTTGTAGTATGGCTCCTGTCCGTCCGTCCGTCCATCCATCCATCCATCCATCCATCCTTCAGCAAATGCTAAACATGGAATGTCAAACCTATTCCTGATATTGCTATAGATGCTAGAGATATTATAATGAAAAGGACAGAAAAATAAAAATATAGAACAAATCATAAACATTTCTTACATTTTTTAAGCCTCATGCTATTTAGCAGGGAGTTAGTTGCAGTAGAAATCATTAATTATATTGTTCTTCATAAGTGGAGGGAAATACATTAGATATAAACATTGTAGACTGCCTTTTGTTTTATCTCTTTAAAAAATCATTTTATTGGGGCTCGTACAACTCTTATCACAATCCATACATACATCCATTGTATCAAGTACATTTGTACCTTTGTTGCCACATCATCCTCAAAACATTTTCTTTCTACTTGAGCACTTGGTATCAGCACCTCATTTCCCCCTACTTCCCTCCCCTCCAATTCCTTCCTCATGAGCCCTTGATAATTTATAAATTATTATTTTTCCATGTCTTACACTGACCAATGTCTCCCTTTACCCACTTTTCCCTTGTCTGTCCTCAAGGGGAGAGTGATAGGTAAATGATTGTGATCGGTTCCTCCTTTTTCCCCTCCCCTTTCTCTTGCCCTCCTGGTATGGCTACTCTCATTATTGGTCCTGAGGGGTTTATCTGTCCTGGATCCTCTGTGTTCCCAGCTCTTATCTTTACCTGTGTACATGCACTGGTTTAGCTGGATTTGTAAGGTAGAATTGGGATCATGATAGTGTGGGGAGGAAGCATTAAAGAACTAGAGGAAAGTTTTATGTTTCATCGGTGCTACCCTGCACCCTGACTGGCTCATCTCCTCCCTGAGACACCTCTGTAAGGGGATGTCCAGTTGCCTACAGATGGGTGTTGGGTCTCTACTCTGCACCCCCCTTATTCACAATGATATGATTTTTTGTTCTTTGATGCCTGATACCTGATCCTATTGACACCTCGTGATCACACAGGCTGGTGTGCTTCTTCCATGTGGGCTTTGTTGCTTCTCAGTTAGATAGCTGCTTGTTTATCTTCAAGCCTTTAAGACCCCAGATGCTATATCGTTTAATAGCCAGGCATCATCAGCTTTCTTTACCACATTTGCTTATGTACCCGCTTTGTCTTCAGCAATGTCGAGAAAGTAAGCATCATGGGATGCCAGTTTAATAGAACAAAGTGTTCTTGCATTGAGGGAGTACTTGAGTAGGGGCCCAATGTCCATCTGCTACCTTAATACTAAATCTATAAATCTATGCACAGAGATCTATTTCCCCATCATCATATATAAATATTAAGAATCTAATAATAACTTCCCGAGTGTACTGTTGTTGTTAGGTGCCACGGAGTTGGTCCCGGCCCATGGTGACCCTATGCACAATGGAATGAAACATGACATAGTTCTGTGTCATCCTCACAACCGTTCCTCTGCTTGAGCCCATCATTGCAGCCACCACGTCAGTCTGTCTTGTTGAGGGTCTTCTTCTTTTCGCTGCCCTTCCACTTTACCGGGCATGATGCCCTTCTCCAGGGACTGGTCTCTCTTGGCCACCTGACCAAAGTTTGTAAGATGAAGATTTGCCATCCTTGCCTCTAAGGAGCACACTGTCTTCTAAGACAGATGAGTCTGTCTTTTTAGCAGTCCATAGTACTTTCAATATTCTTTTCCAGCGTCACAATTGAAAACATCGATTTTCTTAGATCATCCTTTTTCGATGGCCAACTTTCACATGCATGTGAGGCAATTGAAAATACCATGGCTTGAGTCAGGTGCACCTTAGTCCTCAAAGTCACATGCTTGCTTTTCAATCCTCTAAAGAGGCCTTGTGCAGCAGATTTACCCAACGCACCTTGTCTTTTGATCACTTGACTGCTGTTGCCATGAGCATTGATTGTGGATCCAAGCAAGACAAAATCCTTGAAAATTTCAACCTTTTCTCCAATTATCATAATGTTACCTATTGGTCCAATTTTGAGGATTTGGGTGTTATGAGTTGTAAAATTGGGTCTATAATTGGGTTGTATAATTGAGTGTATAATTGGGACAAAATGCTGTTGCTAGAACTTGCCTCATGTTTCTTGTCTCCCAAAACATAATAATAGCTAAATTTTTAAAAATTTAGCTAACTGAATTTGTAACAATCTCCCATCTCCTTACAAACAAACAGACACAATGTGCCTCTGGAATGTATTTTTGAAATGGGAGAGAGGCACTTTGATATCATGCGTGAAAACCAGTTTTACAATGGAAGAGACTGAGGTGAGAATAGAGGAGTCAGCACTAGAATGGAAGCCTTCTAAATTGTATGCTGAATCTCCACTTTCTATGCCACACATCTAGTACTATCCTGAGAACATTGTTCGACTCCAGGTAAGTAAAAGATTTCTGAATGCAGAGTATGATGCAGTTCTATATACTTGAAGATATTATGTTAAGAAGTCAGACATGAAGACCACATACCAGAGTAAGTAAAAAAGCACTGGTACTTGGTTTCCAGTTCCTACATACATGGAGTTATTCCAAACAAAGCCTGTTTAAGCACGTCTTTACAATCAATGGATGGCTACAGACCAATTCTCATAGTGGTTCGTGTGTTGTGTTAGCCTCATTAAGTTTCCTTCAAAAACAAACGGAAAAAGTCTAAGTGATTCCTAAGGGGTGCTCTCAATAGAATGTCTTTGTATATGGATAAGCATTATCCTATCACATTGTACTTCAAGGTAGATCTTGAACTATCCTTTTGGACGATGAATAAAAGCCCAGTCATCTTGATTGTGTCACTCCTGATAGAGTAAAACATATGCTTTTCTGATTTAAAATGGCCAATACAAGTCCATAACAGTCTAGGATATTGATCCTCATGTTGTCCACTTCATTTTTAATGATTTACAATTTTCCTGTAGTCATACTTCGTACAATCCAAGTGCCAATGATTAATTGATGTTTGCAGCTGTTTCTCCTCATGTGGAGTCATGCCCCATCACCAAAATGAAGGTTCAGAAGGTTTTACTCCAACTGAGTCACTACGGTCAACTCTACTTCTGGAAGGTAGCTCGTCCTCGGGCATATCTTCAGTGCCTTCCAGCCCGTGGGCAT